TTTTTTTTTTTTTTTTTTTAAAGAATAAAAGTAACCAGGCTGGAAAACTAAGCCAGATCTTCCATCCATTGCTGGCTGCAGAGGGATGATTGTGGCCTCAACTTCATTTCAACTTAGAACCTCAACACAGTGCGTTGAAATACCCTGCCTTGTCCAGAGGATGGAGAACAGCCATCCAGAGCTCTGAAGCCACACAAAAAGGGAATCACATTGGTCTATACTTTCAGTCTCAGATGAAGGAAGGCAACTGTAAACCAACTTATTCTTTGGTGGGAAAAACTGAACATTAGACATACAATCCCCATTCTTGTCTTAATAAAGACACAAAGAGTCTTTACAAAAGTCTCTTTCCTGTAAACATCTATCCTGTGCAGTGGCCGAGATTTTTATTCACTTACTGCAGAGTTCAAAAAACCCTGTATGGTCTCTGCTACTGAGAGAGACAGACTTTTAGAAAAGACAAAGCAACCCATCCTCCAGCTGCCTGGCACAAAGGGTTCACATATTGTTAGCTATTCTGTAGAAGAATTACCTCCAGTTGCCCATTTTCACACCTCCATCTGGACCCAACATTAAACAAACAGCTGAATGACAAAAAGGAACAATTCAGGAAAAATAAAAATAAAAGGGTGAGCAAGAAACCTTGGGTAAGATGCAGGGCATAAATTGTAACACTATCACAGAGAGCAAGGGCCTTTCCCAGGGCTCACAAGCAACTCCCAGACACAAACACACAATTCTGGTTACTAGACAGTGGAAGTTCATGTTTGAAAATGTCAAAGAACTCCCTCTGTACTCACAAAGGTCAAGGGGCTGTACAGAGGCCTCCCTGTTATGTCACTCGTCATCGCTGTTGGGTGACTCCCACCGTCATAATATATCTTCCTATGCTGACTGCCTCACTGCACTTGATGGAGACTTTATAGTCATCCCTCTGGGCACAGCTCATCACTCCTGCTCTCTCTGACTTTAATCACCTGTCTGGAACACTATGGAAAAAGAAATCCCCCTTCTGGCCAAAAACCCAGGCTGCATTCAGTGCAGAGTCTACCTGCCAAGCCTGCAGCAGTGCTTGGGGGAGTCCTGGCTCCTAGCACAGCTGACACAAATGGGAGATAACAAATGGGGCAGTTCAGTCTTCCAGTGACTCCAAACTCTTCTCGTCACTGACCTCTGACATGCCACACGCCACCCAGATCAGCCACAGGACTGGCTTCAATGGCACTTGCAGCAGAGTGAGTCAGACCCAGGCACCAGAGATGCTGCCTATTTACGCATAGAGGAAGCAAGTGGGCTTGTCAGGACCCCCTCCTTCCCCAGCCCTCAATACCTGCATAGGCAGTGACCCATAGCATTGGTGGGCTAGGTTAGCAGCACGCTCCAAGAATGCGGAGGGAATCCCATCCAGAGGCATGCCCTGCCCAGCTACCCTTCAAACACTTTCCAAATCCATCCATGCAACGATGGATAACTGGAAAAGCCAGCAACAGCTATGACTGGAAAAGCCTTGGAGCCATCCCCTGGCCTAGTCTTGCTCGTGCTGCATACCGCCCCCAGCTTGGCTGGACACCCACACAGCAGCAGCAATAGGAAATTGCAGCACAAGCCACTCAAGAGGAAAGGCAGGAGTCAGCATTCTTGCACCTTCTCCTGGGATTCAGGGAACCCAGAGGCTGGAAGTTGGGACAGACTCAGTGCAAACCTCATGATTACCAAGAGCTCACCTGGTTTGGCTAAAACCTAGAAGCAGCACTCAAGCAAAAACTTGTGTTTGGTAGATGCTGCAAACCTGGTTGGCTTTGTACTGCAGCTTCTCTGTAGAGGAGGAGAGCGAAAGCTTGAATCATTAACAAGGCCAAAAACACATATCTTCTTTATGCACATTTATTTATAAAAAACAGACACGTTCCCCACCATCCCGCCAATGCCAAGAAGCCCTATATGTGACAACTGCAAATTCACCTTGGCTGTGCGTGTCCCTGGCATGCATTAGTCCCAGGGCTAAAGGCACAGAGCATACAAGTGAACCAGTGACAGTGATGGGCAAACAGAACAAAAGCTCCAGCCCAGGCAGGCTGTATACATTTCTCTGGGAAGCTCAATGCTTCAAAGCAAGGAGCACAATTTCAAGCAGCAAACTCCAGTTGATTCTTAGAGATTTGGCCAGCTGTAATGGAGGGGTGAAAGTAGGTTGGATGACATGAAACCAGCCCTGTGCCAGTCCAAAGCCCTCACAGATAGGTCACATCCAAGACATGGACATGTAACTTGTGTCCCTGCACAGCACTGGCATGGCAAGAAGGGGAACCAGTTTTCTCTCAAGAGCAGCAGCCTGAAGGGAAGTCAGGGGAGCTGGCAGGCGTGTGCTCCTGGCCTTCCCTCCAGCACGGTCTACGGCCCTGCCAGCTCACAGGGCCATGGCTCAGAGCCTTATGAATCCTCACAGAAACACCTGTTGTGGCCGGCGACCTATACGTCCGTCTCTATGCGCAGCCGCTCCAGGCGGCGGACGTTGCGCTCAACGGCACTGCGATCGGTGATCTGCTGCGCACATGACTGGGGGAACCAGCCTCTCTCGCCATCTCGAAGCCTCTCACCCAAGTACCAGCCTGAAGGAAGGAGCAGAGTATTCTGTGAGATGGGAAAGGACTGCACCCAGCCAGGGAACACATGCTGCACCTGCTGCCACCCTCGTTCACAGAGCATGAGCCAGCCAGGAAATCTCCCACATCAGGCAAGCATTCTGCACTCCGATTGCATTTGTACCTGGAGTATGCACTTACCCAAAAGGAATGTAAACGCAGCTCAACTGCTGCAGGCGCCACCTGGGCAGCGCTTTTTATACCTTCAGAACATCTTACACCTCTATGAGGAACCTTGAAATGGAGAGGCCTAAGCCAGCTGCCCCAATCGCGAAGCAGAATTGTTACGGTTATGCTTCCTGCTCCTGCCTCTGAGCAGCTGTGCTGGGCACTGTCAGAGCCAGAACGCTGGATTACCCGACTGTGGACCAGACTCATTCTGGGACTGGAGGGCGTTGCAGGAGAGTTCCCAATGGGCATGGACGGTAGCTAACATGCAGGTAGCAGACACTACAGGGAGCTCTGAGCCCATAAGCAATCCTGTGGTTTTGCTTCTCTAAGACATGTAGGTTGTTAGCTCTAGCGTTGGGCTTCCTTGTCTGTAAACCTGAAAGCCTTCTACCTGGATCAGACCCCACTCCAAAGCTCTAGCTCCCAGCCCACACTTCCCATTCTTTGGGCACCCACATGACTTACCATCTTCTCCACCCAGGACCAGGACAACATCTGCCTGCTGCAGCGAAATTTCATCCGTCTGTTTAGCCAAGTGCGCCCTAATTATCTCCACCTGGCTCAGATCTGAGGGAGAAGAGAGACACACACCACAATTGCTGGCTAAAAAGGAACTATGGAATAGAAGTGATAAAATGTTGGAAAACGCAACAGCCCACTGGAAACCACAGCCAGGCCTTGTGATTAGAAGTTACCCTAACCTGAGCAAAGGCTCAGCCTGAGAGGACAAGCCCTGCTGCAATGGGGATCATGTCGGTGGACTTCTCTAGAGCCCAGTCAGGTTTGGTAACAAGAAGCCACTTGAGTCCAGCTCCCAGTGACCAGCATCAAGACACTGCTCACCCCACCTGCACCCCTCTGGTCCCACTGTCCCTCCCAGTCTGGGGACCCTCCAATCCTCTGTTTCTCCCATGCTGTTGCCCCTACTCACAGGACAGCCTCTGCTCTTCTCCTGAACCTGTGTACACTCACATTGCTACAGAAATCCCTCCTATCCTGCTCCCTCTGTGTTAATGTCTGAGTGGTGTTCCCTGTGCACATTGCTTAAGAAACTCCGTGTCCCTCTCTGAGGGCGTGGGCGGCACTACAGACTCCAGAGGGAGTCCTGTGGGACCTGCTGGTTTCAAACAAAAGCCATGCAAGCTTGGAGGATTTGGGCTTTTGAGTGCTATGGCCAGAACCCCAGAACAAAACAACCAAGTGGGCACAAAACAAACCCCTTTGCGTTCCCAGGGGCTTGGCTTGCCCCAGCCAGCGCCGGCCACACTTCCATTTGATTTTGTGGGGAGTTTGCTACTAAGGTGGTTTGGGGGCTGGGGTCTTTCTGAAGGTGATTCACAGGATCATTCTCTGGCCATTTTACCATGAGTGTTGTCACATTTTGTGCTTATCTGAATGCTTCAGCTTCTGGAATCAAGTGATTACAGGAGGATTACAGCTTTCATTTAAAAACAGATTCTAGCAACCAGATTTACCCTGACAAGCTCAGAGATACAGAGGCCATGGAGGGGAGAAGGAATCCAAAATGCATTAATTTTAAATCCTAGGATTTTTAAGTCATTCTCAGGGCTATTTGGGTGGGGAGGAGAGGAGTCACTGACTATCAACTTCCCTGTACTTGGTGCTGGCAGTGCTAGGTTGATAACACTCTGCAGTAGTAATTTGGATGCTGAGGGTGATTAGCAAAGCATTACGAATGTTTCCAGCTATTCGGGTTAAAATAAAAGTGGCAGAAGCAGCTTAATGCTCCATTTTATCAGCTTTCACATTTTCACTTAGCAAGCATCCCCGTTCCCACCCCCAATCTTTGCAGGGCTTGACAGCACAACAGCACTCGTGTTTACTTTCTGGTTTATCCCCAACCTGAATGGATTTGGGAGACAAGGAGTTATATGAGTTAGCAGCTGAGGCGCCAAGGCCAGTAGAGGGAGCATACGTCTCTCCCTCCCCTGCTCTCAGGCCTTCGCGGTGGCAGCTGGGTAATGGTCCTGCTTTTGTGTTTGATAATGAGGTATTTGGAAATGAGGGAACAGTCCTCAAAATACAGCAGTTCCCCTTCCCTTCCCTTACTGAGCATCCTCATTGCTTTATGAGTCGAGAGAGATAGTCAGCGAGGTAGTTAGCCTAGTTAGTTGAAGTTAGGTAGAAGGTGGGGCATGGTGGCACCTTAGAGCAGTGCTTCTCAACCTTCTTAGACTTGTGGCACCCCTCAATAGACCTGAGGTGCCCCATGAATATGCCAGCTCTCAGCTTTCATTTATTTTTTTTGACTACAGAAAAACACTAGAGAAAGTCTTCTGTTGCAAAGGACTCAGAAAGCCCACAAGAGGTCAGAACGTTTGTAACACTGCAAACAGCTATTTGAAAGCACTTGAGTTTATCTTGTGACTCACGTGGCACCCTCCAAAGGATCACAAGTCACCCTGGTTGAGAATCGCTGCCTTAGAGACTAATTAGTTCAGACGGGCATGAATTTTCATAGGCTACAAACTACTTCATGAGATGCTTAGGCTGTAGCTCACTCTCTCCAAACAAGTTAGTCTGTACGGTGCCACCGTGCCTTATCTTCTGCTTTATGACATCACAAGACAATTTGTACCTTCTAGGAGACACTTTCAGAGTCATCTGGGCTCTTCAGGTAAAGTCTGATCTACTCAGGCAAATGCTGGGCTGGTGAGCAGCTGTGCCCTATGGCTTCCCTCACAGAAGAATGACTCCTTCATAGGATACACCTGCATGACACTCTTATCAGATCCCAAAAAATCTCAATCAGAGCCTGTGACCTCAGGAGGAACAGCTTTACAGCCCTTAAGCACAGGATAATGAACAGGCATCAGGCACTAGTTACAGGCAGGATTTAAGACAGTAAAACGCAGTGTCACAGAGAGGGGGTTGGTTTCTTTACCTCCTTTGCTGGAAGTGTCATTCTGTGCATTCTCCCTGTGCATCAGTGCAGTGATCCAACGAGCCCGGTCGCTCCTGCCAAAAAGAAAGAGTTAAGGCCTCTTTACATGGAGATACCAGAGGTAGAAAGGCAGCAAGTGACACCTGGGATGCTGGGGAAGCTTCACTGGAAAATATAGTTTTCATTCAAATAAACTTCTCAGAGGGAAGGGCTAGTTATGAGGGAACTTTCCTTAGGAAAATCTTCTCCAGCCACAATCCAAATGAGAGGGACCTAGTGTGGGAAAGACCAGAGCCTGGCGATCAGGAAGTCACTTGCAATGTCAGAGGCTGAAGCCAAATCCTAGCTCTGCCCAAGTCAGACCAGCACCTCAAAGCTGGGTGCCTCCTACATGACTACCCCAACCACCAGGCTACTGTCAGTCAGCCTTAACCCTCCTCTCTTCCTGTTCCTCTTTTGTGTGTGTGTGGGTGGGGAGAGCTTCCTAATGTACGTGTTTGAAATCTTTTGAGATTTGGAGAGATGGAAAACTTGCTTCTCACCCACCGTCTACTGTAACTGAAGTGCTCTGACACATCATACACAAACAGAAGCAGAGGTTGAGTGCAGCAGGTACATTCCACTTACCTTCATAGCCCTGCCTGACATGCTCAAAGAGCTGTAAAATGCAACTGGAAAGAAAACCCAAACTTTGCAAGATGTAGTTGGGAGACAGAGGAAGATTTCATTCTCTCCAGGTCAAAAACAGGAGGGAAAGAAGAGATGCAGCTTTGAAGCAGAAGCTGCTCAACATTTTACTGCAGATTATTGTTACAAATTAATGAAAAATAATTGGGCACAAAAGGTAGTAAATGGTGGAGGATGGCTGGTGTTGCAGAACTTAGGGAATTTTTCCAGTTTGGGGACTGTCAACAGGACAGTCACTCTAAAGAGCAGCTTCATTTAAAATAGGACAGGGTGCAGTGTACCAGGACCAGTCCTTCTAGGTTACTGGAGCTCCCCAGAAAAAGGCTGAAGTAGGTTGTAGTGTCTACACGTAGAAAGAAGTGAAAGGGCAAAGTGGGTGCTGTAAGAGAGACTGGGAATTTGACCATGGCAAAAATGACAGCTACTTATGGCCAGAGACTTCAGAGTTATGGGGGCAAGGAAGAAGGGAAATAAAAATAAAAACAGCTCAGGAGACAGAAACTCAGTTAAACCAAGAGTGCAACAATGCTCCAGGCACTGCACTCCCAGCAGAGCAAGAGCATTTTGCTAGAAGTGAACGGGAAGAGTTAAACAAAGTTTGTTTCTGCGCTGTGCAGGGAAGGGAGGGGCAGAGGGCAATTCTAATTTGTCACGTGCTACCCAACAGATAAAGCTGCATGACGTGTACCACCTGCTTACAGATTTTAACCCTACTTTCCCCCTTTTTCACTGAGAAGCAGCAATCCTTTAAAAGCCACATACGCCCAAAGCAGGAGATGCCACCAGGCCCATCTGTTTGCTTAAGAGACAGCCTGCCACAGCAGCACTCACAAGGACTCTGCTGACAGCACAATCTCCTCCCGTCTCCCTTCGCTGTTCTTCTTCAGGATCACTCGGAACAAGTGGCCGTTCCACGGGCTACGGGCAGCGCCTCCAGCCCCTGGCTTGCCCGGGGGAGAGGAGGGTGGGTCAGGGCTTTCAATCTTCTCCACCACGATCTGATCCAGCTTGGCATAGTCCATCACAGTGTAGCTCTCTTCACTGCAGTTGACAAAGCACAGCAGAATTAGTGTCTTACAGCACAGCTCGCTCATACACAGAAGCCTCAGCTCTGAAAGAAGCTTCCCTCAGCTTTAGGACACCTGGGATGCTCACCTGTTGGTCCATCAGGCCTGTTCTTCTTGAATTTTGGCTCCCACAACCAAGACAAAGCAGCTCTGCACAACTGTGCGGCTGACTCAAATCTGCTGCTCCTGTCATTATGGATATGCAAAGTCCTGAAGAGCAAGTCCAGCACACATGAGCAGATAAACAACTCCTCTGCAATGTTGACTACTGGCTGGCTGCAGTTCAGCCCCTAAGCAAGCCACAGATCAGACAGGAGGCTTGTCCCAGGGTTGGGAAACTCTGATGGGGCTCAGGAAACCTGGATTTTACTTCTGCCTTGGTCACTGATCAACTTTAACTTTGGGAAGCTCCTTTCTCGGCCTCTCTTTCCCCTCCCACCTTTCTCTATTTTGTTGCGGGTGCCACTGCTTTGCTGCAGCCCACCATGGCACAGACACATGGGGTTAACTGCATCTTCTGTTACATGACAGCATGTCCACAACTGCCTGGTTTGACTCCAGCTTTTGGTCTCACTGACACTTGGGGCTTTATCACTTGGCAGCCTGCACAAAATTAGTCCACTATGCAACCACCCCTTGCAGCCAGCATGTAAAGGGTGTTCTTGGAGAGCAGTTTGCCCAGGTTGTAAGCAGCCATGAGCACGAAGGAGGGTTAAGCTGATTTCAGCAATGGGAAAGCCGAACGTGCATTTTTCAGGTCTCTAGCTGATACATCTGTCCGAGGAGGAGCATGGGGAGATAAAAGGAAAATTGGCCTCAGCACATACATTCCTCTGCTGCAGAACACTGCTCACTGGAAGTATGCAAAAGGAAACATGGTCTATATGAACCTGGAGAAAATTACTAAGTCAGAAGTGCAGGCTCATTACCCAAAGTGACCCTATGGATCCCACTATATGGCTGGGGCAGGGCCTTCACCTTTCATTGATGATAACTGTCTGACTGGACCTTTCTCCGTGACTTGTCTTTCTGGAGTGGTCAATTGCTCAAGCCTCTTTATGTCTACAAAAGATTTAGCTATGTATTCCCTGGGAATTTTGCAAGCTTCAAGCCCATGTAGTCCTTAATGAACTGCAAGAGGCATAGAACAGACAGCTCTCCACCCAATAATTCTTATTCCCTGGCCTGAGCACGTGCACATTTGCAGTTAGTTGGGAACAGAAGGTCACTTCATTGGCTCTCTGCACAGAGCAGCAGACTGCGCTATGGCAGGCAATTCCCACAGCAATCTAATCCTTAGCATCCCACGGCAAACAGCGAGAGGCCTCCAAATGGAAACAGGCCGTTCCCAAAAGCGGCCCCTCGACACCAAGAAGGCTGTTGAGAAGGAATGAAAGAAGTTTCCAGAATGTGGGGAATTTAATCAATCAGAGCTCAGTGCTAATTTGAATGGGAATATCTGTAACTGAGAGGAAACCATGGAAACAAATGACAGTACACAATGTCTAAACAGTAACTTAGGAAAAAGCACATGCTCCAGTGAGACACAAACGGTACCAAGGACCAGACAGATGGAAGGGGACTTGCATCAGGGAGAAGAACTTTGCAAGGTTCAATGCCGGCACCCAACTCACCTTGCACCATGTTGTCTCTGGCAGGGCAAGTAGTTGTTTTGTGAGAGGGTCAGGAAAAGAAAGTTCTGTGTTTCCATCTTTGCTGATATTGCAAGCTCTGTGGAGTAGGGAATATCTTCATCTTGTGTCTGTATTGTCTAGCACTAGGAACTCCTGGATGACCCAAGTTATCCCCATGTTGTATACATCGAAAACTAAGCAGGGTGTGCATAGTTACAGTGGTATCAGATGAGACTAGTATAAGCTGTCCCAATGCAATTGTGATGCCTGCATATGTGTGAACTGAACTATTCTAACTTCTACCCTGAATGAACAGGGCTGAAGTTACAACAGTTTCACTCTGCTTATGCAGCTCTAGAACATGTAGACATTAACACGTATACTAGAGTAGCTGATGTGTCCTGCTAATCAACAACTCCCTCACCCATTCTATAACACTGAGCCTACATTTTTCCAGTCTCCCTTTTGTGTTTGGACAGGTAAGTTTTCATTCCCAGCCTCCCGGCTGGAGTCCTGCTTCTGTTCTGAATTCCAGAGACCGAGTCTACTGTCTCCCTTCCCTTTGACTCTTGCTGCTGCACACATTGCTCAGACCTGGTGGGCGTGGGGAAGGGCCAAATGAAATTCTCTCAGCCTCACCCCCGGGGCAATGTTGTACAGGCCAGTTCCACAGCTCTGGTTTCTGCACCTTGTGCCAAATAAACAGTCAGTAGTTCTCTGCAACCAGGCCACAGAGACGTGGGTTCCTCAAGGTTCTGTCCAAGGATCAAATATTTACATGTCCAGCTAATAAGAAAGGTGGAGTTTCACAGCTGTAGGTCAAGCAGGGTCTTGATCATGAGGCCATGGAGCCTGATCGTTTATTTGTGTTTACTGGAACTGCTGCTGTCAGGGTCAGCTAGTGGGGAATGACTAATTTTGCAACTTTTTGTTCAAAACAAAACTACATCCCAACAAAACGCTGGGGAGAGGAGCTAGCCTGGCTGCCTGGAAGGAGGAAAGCCACTTGTTAACCAAGCAAAAGAACACATTTCCTCCCCACCTATTATAGTTTCATAGTGTCACCCTTCACCAGCATGCAGGGTGACAAGAGGAAGGGAAGCCCAGGTAAGCATCAACATCCGGGGAGCACGGGGCCACAACTGTCCTGGGAGTGGGAGGAAGGCACGTGCACCCTCAAGAG